GAATATGGGAAGGATTTACTCGAATATGGTGCTAACTTCACCTACGTCATCTGTTGATATATATGTAAAGGGTGAATGTATGAACCAATTAAATTTTTTTCCTTTCTGGTCATTGTTGTATATGATGGATATGACAAATATTCTATATTATAATCATAAGGGGAGGGACGTCACGTAGAAGTACTAAAAAGTAATAAAACGAAATGAGTTTAAATAATCATTTTATTTTATTTAGTTTTCAGAAGGATTATAAACAGCTTTTATAGCATCAATAGAAGACAGAAAACGATTGAGTTTTTTTTTGTTTTTACTTCTCTTCTGTATAAATAGCCGCATAAATGATCTGCTAAATGATCATGTGCCGTACCATAAACCAGTTTGCTTTTGAGATGACTGACGAGGAAAGTTTATAACAAGTGCGGGGCTATACTAAACTCTGCCCTATATATATATATATTGATGGTGTTCTTATTCTGAATTCGTACCAAAAATAATATATTGGAAATGCATTATTTTTCTTTTATTTAGATTTTACAATTTCTGTTAAAGTTCATTTTCTAATTTGAAAATCATCTTCGGAATTTTTTCTTTTACAATAGAACACATCAACATATTCAATATCAAGTAAGTATAGCTAATTTGGTACTTCTACAGAGAGATGCAGAATCTACCCGCATGCACGACCGGTCGGTCGGGGAAAATTTACTAAAGTTATTAGCAGTTAGAGAAATTTTTTTTGATTTTTTTCTCATAGGAAATATTTCATAGTTTCCCAAGCGAGTCCTGATATATCTATATGTGCACTGGTCACATCATGCATCTTTGTTTCTTTTTTTTGTTAAACTTTTGAAAGAGTCATTCGTGTCTTTGTTGGAGTGCCAGTATTGTTTACTTTTATTTAATCACGCTCCCTTGAATAATTCAATTTTTCGAAAATAAATGTGAAGTTGACTTTTTATCATAGGAAGATGTTCCAAAGCCTCTTCTTTCAGAATATATATAGTTTTCTGTAAAACGGCTAGATTTTGTCAGACTTATTGGGAAAGCCTAGGCCCCTCTTATTACGTGTTTTCAGAATTTTTTGAGCTTTCACAGAGTTTTTAGTTTTGCAAAAGACTAACTTTTCATTTGTATAAACATTGATAAAACATTATTATGTTAATTATTAGGAGTGTTCTAACACTCAAGATAAGGATCATATTTTTATATGGTTTTCGGAACATCGACCATTTTAAAAACTCTATTCTAATGTTTTCTGGATATAAATGAAAACGATTTGAAAAAAAATTCATTTCTAAAACTTTAGCATTTTTCTTAAAACATGGTTTCCATGCAGGAAAAACTGAAATAACTCCCACGCAGTTCAAACTATAACTAATATTTTATTTTAGTTTGAAGGTCGGAATGAGAGTAAACTTTTCATCGGTCAGTTTTTATTATAGTTGATTTCTGTCTTAAAAATGATTGAGTGGCGTCCAACCACTGGAGCTCTTTCCTCAAACCACCGACCATTTAAATAAAGCAATTTCTTTTTAGAACGATGAGAAAAAAAATCCACGAAACTTTGCACTACTTAACTTTTCTTCTTCAGTTTCGACTATAGTGATTGGACGCATTTCTAATCATAACTTATCTCTCAAAATAGCGAGACGTCTGTAGTGACAGTAATGATTGATAGATGATCATATCATAGATACCTTTTCACGCTTGGATTTTATAAGCGATATGAACAAATACATTCATGATTCTAATAAGACAAAAGATAGGGTTCTTGCTAAATGAAAATCGATGATAAACAAACGAAACATAGTACTATTGAACATTTTCTAACTGATACCTCCAGAAAAACAAAGTTGATACTTTTACTTCGACCATTGATGAATTTTTGTAAATAACAGATTGTGATGAAACAGTTTTTATTGTAAAGAGGAGACTTTTGGATCTCTGTCACCATTTTCAGCATCAAGAATAGCAGTGTCTATAGAAATCTCTTGCATTCCTATTGACTTTAGGTGTTTCTCAAAAGAATTCCTACTCCTACATGAAGGAGATCCTCTTAATAATTTCCATGCTTTTCAAGATCGGTTTATCTGAACGGTTGAAAATTTTCAGAACAAATAGAACTCAATGAATAGGGTAAAAGTTGCTCTAGTGCTAAAATTCTCGGTTATTTTTTCATATGAGATACTAAAGTCTGATGAGTTAAAAATGATCCTTCTTATCAGCCATAATACATCTCATTGAACAAAAAGTTTCTTTTTAGAAATACTACAAATACTTTGGAGTGTCTACTGTTTTTGTTTCTCTATGTCTCGTTTTATTCGAATGAAAAATTCAAAATGCAAAAAGCACATTAAAACAATTCATATTTTTTTAACAGATTTTATTTTGTAACATCTGCCAAAAATCAGCGATATAATATTTTTCAAAATAAAAATTAATCAGTTAAAAATATCTTTAGAATCTTTAAAAATGGTTCGGCTTGATTAAATGTACTATGTCTGAGAAACGGACACAATTCTACAAGCATTTATGTAAAAATTAGGTTTTGACAAATGTTGACAGAATAAAAGAGATTTGACCTGTTTTCATGTAGAACAGTTTGATCTTTTGGATTTTGTTTTTGAATTTAAAACTTAATTTCAATTTTCTAAACGTTTTAATAGATAGAAAACATTTCGAAGTATATATCAAACAAACAAAATGAAAATTTCGGGGTTGAACAAGGAAATAGACCCTCTTAAATCACCTTTGAAAAATTTTAGAGCAGTACCCAACCACCCGTCATTCTCTGGTTACGACATTATTACAAACCTCTTAAATTGAATAATTAAAGTAATAATTTTATGTTTAAGATTCTTTCTAGACATATCCATCCATATTCTTCTCGTCAAGAATATTTTTAAAAACGAATAATTTATTTTTCTAAATCCATTTAATACTTTTTGTCCCTATTAAGTTGTATAATATCGATTTTTTTAAAATATAATTTAACGAACTTCAAAATTTTATGTCTCTTATTTTCTTTTCTTTTTTTTTTATTTTGATTTGCTATTCAAGAAAATAAGAAAAATATTAGAATTCTCTTCATAATTCTTAGTCTCTTTTTTTTGATGGAAACTAACTTATCTTTTCTAGGATGAACAATATTTTATTTTGAATGAACGTTAAAAATTAAATTGTATTTTAATTTTACGAGTTTACTTTTTTCGTTTTCTCAAATTTTCGTATCGAAAAATAATTGTCATTTTCATTTTTAGATGAAAAATATTGAAATCTAGATTGTTTGTTGACGCTCATTGAAAATAAATTATTTTTACTCTAGAAAAAAAATTCAAAATTACAAACAGAACGCTAATTTTCTCGATCTTCATGTATACAAAAAAAAAAAAACTAAACAAAAGAGAATGAATTTTCTTGACGATAAAGAAAAATTTTTTGAAAAAATGATAAATACTTTTAAAATTCATTTAATAATTATTTCGATTAAGTGTAAAGTATTTGATACGTCTTTTACTACACAAAAGAAGAGAAATTTATTCGATCGCCTTGTTTAGTTAAAAATTGATTTTGAATCAAGAAAAATTTAATAGTATGAAATTTTTTGAATATGTTTCAACTATAATTGAAAGACTATAGTAAAATTTTCAACTTTATCTTAGATTTTTTGAAGATAATCATATAACAATGATCGAAAATAGTTTTCTTTTTAGAGAATAAGATTTTAAATAATTGAAAAATACTTCTCAATATGGTTAGTTTTGTTCGTGGATAGAGCAAATCGATATTTTTGTGCAATGTTTGATGTCTGTCAAACAATCTTGAATATATAATTGAATAAAGAATTATAAGTATAACACATATAGTATATTATTCAAATAATGATTGTTAATGATAATATTTTCATATTAATTTTACAGTTAACCCAGAAAATATTGAAAAATTACACAATTAAACATAATACTTTCAAGTTTTCATATTGAAAAAATTCATAAGAATCGTATTATCCTTCCAGAATCGATTATTTCAATAAATATGAGCATTTAAAAAATAGTTTTATTTTTTATTTATTTTTTTTTTTAGGTTCAATTATGTTTTGAAATTGTAACAATATTGATAATTAATATAAATTTAGTAATAAATACACAATAAAAAAAAATTTTTCGTTAAATACGATTTATTGTCAAGATATATTGAGAGATAGATTAATTTAAGTTTTTTTTCTCTTATACGACAATAATTCAATTGTTATCTATATTTGATTATTTTAGTAAGTATAAAACTTTTTATTAAGAGATAATTATTTAACAAAAATAATATTTATTTTATTATTTAGTTTTAAATAAGATCCATATCGTCATTTCGATTCATTATCATGACAGAAAGTCGTTCGGCCAGCAAAAGCCATAACTACTATAATCTACTTCCAATACCAAGAAAAGTAGAAGATTTATTTGAAAACAATATCACTGTTGATATGACAAATTATAAACAATTATATACAATTATTGAAAATTGGTTAAAATCAAATCCTGGAAGTATGGATGAAAAAACATGTCAATTAAGCTTTTATATGAATTGCATGAAAGTATATAATAAATCTATCGGTGATAAATTAAAACATTGTGATAATTTTCAAGGTACTATATTCAAAAATTTATTTCAGCGTTTAATTCCAGATTTTTGTTTGGTTGATTATTATAATTCTAAGCTTAAATCAGAAGAAAGTGGTCTCGATTTGGAATTTTTACCATTACATATAGTTTCCATCGTTGAAATAAAGAAAAAAATGAAAGATGAAGATATTGATCAACTTTTACATTATCTACAAGTTGTTTTGGATTATTCTCCATCATGTCGTAGGTTTATCATAGGTATAATGACTGATTTTCGTGATATTAGGTTTGGAAAAGTATCAAGATCAAATAATGATTATGATTTTATATATGAAGCATCAAAATGTGCCTTCAAAAATGAAGAAGAATATTTACTAGATTGTTTAACAAAATTTTTTACAATTGATCCATCACAATTTGGTTTTAAAAGATTAGAACAATTACCTAAAAATATTCTTATTCATAATAAACTCTTAGGAATTGGTGCTAATTCAATAGTATTTAATTGTTTAATTAATCAAGATAATAGAAATGAATATACTTTAAAAATAAGTAACAAACCTGTTGATAAAGAAATATTTATTTATAAAAAATTATATGGTAATAAATATAATATTATTAAAGTTTGTGAATATGTTTTCTTATTTCGTCATCCACCTGGTGAATTTATATCAAAAGATATTTTATTAAATAATATTCATATCATATGGGAACAAATTAAACACGCACACAGAAATAATATTATACATCGTGATATTAGAAAATCCAATATTATTCAATTATGGAATCATCAACATACAAGGTAAAAAAAATAAAAGTGAGATCTTTCTCTAATATCGACATCATTGGGACAAGACAAAAGTGTTTAGTATATGTAGATGCCTATTATAAGATTATTTTCAGGTGTTTTCTCTTGAAATAATAAGTATTCACTAATAAGTGATTTTTGAATGTCAATTTTTTTTCCAATAATTTATTAGTTGGAATAATCATTTTTTTCTTTTTTGGAGTAACAGAGCATTTACCAAGCACTCTGGTTGTTGTCTAATAATCCGTTTTTTTTTCTATAAATAAATACGACCAGTGCATTTCCTAACATATATTTTATGATTTTTATCAAAACGTAACTAACTATGAGCAATATGATCCCGATCTAGCAGCAACGTAAAACTTTAAAGTTGAATAAGACTGAAATGTGAATTGTACGATTTAGTTTTCAATTTTAAAGTTTAAATTTTCAATAATGTGAATACGTAACTGAACGTTGAGTATGGTTGTGCCTTGATATTTTCTTGCGATATCCATATCGAGAAAGATATGATATATGTATCTTTATAGAAAATTTCAAGAATAAATTTTCAATTGAATTTATTTATCAAGTGTAACATATATGGAGTTTGATTTAATTTCTATTACTTTTTCTTTCATCATTACCTGAATGTCAAAAAAAAAAGCAAAAGGAATAAATAATAACTATAATAAATAAATAATTTATATTTTAATGTCTAAAACAATATTTTATGATAAAAGACGATGGTCGGAAATCATCCATTTTTCGCCGCTTTCGAACCTCTCTATAAAATGAAAGTAGCTTAATAGTATATGACTGCTTTGATATTGGTTTATTAAGATCTTGTCGCTTTTCGGAACAAAAGCTTAATGAATGTTAGAGTTTTTTTAACAGAATGCTGTGATCCCTCAGCGATCTCAGAAAAACTTATTTTTCAATTTCAACTTGAATCTTTGCATAGAAAAAGATCTTACCAAGAATAGTGTATGGTGAAATTTTCAGATTTTTTTGTTGTTCCTATCTTAAAACATGAGCATCGACCATGTCTGTCTATATGAGCGATGTAAAAGATATGCTTTTAACATAGCCGTTTTTTAGAATAATTACAACATTAAAAAAATCTAAAAATTTCAGGATACACTATTCTTGGTAAGATCTCTTTCTGTGCAAATTTTCAAGCTGAAATTGGAAACTAAGTTTTTCCGAGATTCCTGAGGGGATCACAGCATTCTGTTAAAAAAACTCTAACATTCATTAAGCTTTCGTTCAAAAAAGCGACAAGATGTTAATAAATCAATATCAAAGCAGTCCTATACTACTAAGCTACTTTCATTTTATAGAGTTTACAGAGCGGCGAAAAATGAATGATTTCCGACCATCGTCTTTAGTTCGTTAAATTTTGCACTAAACAATGTATAAATAGAAAAATATTTTTAGTTATCGTTGGATAACAGATAAAAAGAAAATAACTTTACTAAATATTAAAAATGTACTAAACTTTTTTTTTCCGATGTGAAAAAAATGTTTTCGTAATAAAAATTAATATATCGATACTGGTAAAATTACTTACATTTCAGTATTGTAGATTAATAGTAATGTGCAGACACGTACTCAAAAATTCTCTTAAGAAGAGGATTGAATGTTTTAGAGACAGATCACCATTGGGAGGAACTTTTTCAGCTCACATAATTTGATAGATCCGTACTTCTCTCAAGTTTTTTTTGCATTTTTTAGAAGAGATCAATCCCCCAATCCTCCTCTGAATACGTCTCTGCTAATATGAGAACTATTGAAAACACTATTTCGATATCTCCAATAAATTGTTCTTCAAATAGGATCTTAAAATTCAAAAGTATATTATATTTTTTCACTCTATTTTAAATAATAGATTATTTCAAATGCTATAAAAACCATATGTTCGATAAAGAAACACAAAATAAAAAATTTGTGTTCGTTCTTTTTATGGAAAATCTTCGTTAGATTTATTACTTTTATTGATCGTCAGAAACATAATATGAAAAATGGATAAGAAATATTTTGATGTTGAAAATACATAAGTTTTTAATAATTCTTATTTGCTTTGTATTTTATAAATTATAATAGTTCGGAAATTCTATTGATCGATTGGGAAAGTTCAGCAGAAATTGGTTTTTCTGGAGAATACAACGGAACATTATCAACAGCATCAAAATTTATCATCAATGAATTAACATACAAGAGACATGGTAATATTAAATGTTTGCCCATTGATGATTGTATCTCGTTAATGAAAATGATTCTTTTGGAAATAATTCCAGAAGAAAAATACAAAAATGAAATTTCATTAGAAGTAAAGAATGGTTCATATGCCGGTATTAACTTCATGTACGATCAAATAAACGATAATTATGCAATGAAACAACCGATTATATTAAAAGTAATAAGGTTTTTGGAAACAGAAGCACATCGTTCAACTTTAAAAGATGATATATTACATTTTTATATTGATCAATGTGTAAAAAAAAGTTATTGTTTATGTCAATGGGAAAATCAACAATTAGACATCGATTATTTTGATCAATTAGAAAAAGATTTATTTTCATCTTAATTATTTAGTAAGTTTTCTATTTTATTGAAAAACATTAATCACATCTATTAGGATGAATAAATTATAATAATTAATATCTGAATTAGAATTATTTTTTCATTGAATATGAATCCTTGAACAGAATTACATGTACAAATTAATAATATTATTAGTGAAATATAATTCTTTCATTTTTTTTCTTCTTTAAAATGATTATTATTTGTCAATTAATCAAAAAAACTCTATGCTTTTTATGCAAATATGATAATAAATCGTATCTTGTTTCGAAATGAATTATTAAATATTAAAAACAAAACTTTTCATAAATCAAATCTCATTAGTTTTATCTCTATCAGTGAATAAGGAGGATAATAAGAATGTAAATGTTTCACTCTTACTCATAATTTACTCATAGATTATTTTTATTAAATATTTTTAAGAATTTAATCAAAGTCAATCAGAACAGATATGATTAAATAAAAATATTTTGCTTATTCAAAACTGTCTTTATAAACTCTTTTTTCCCTAATAAGAACGGTAAGCTAACTTTTGACCATAATAACGACTAGAGCCCGTCGGGTAGGACTCGAACCTGGAATTACCTGGACCCGGACCCGGACCCGGATCCAGGTAATTCCGGGTCAGGTCCGGGTCTGAAAATTTTCTATTGACCGAGTCCAGGTCCGTGACGACAGTTGCTACTCTAAAATTAATAGTCAATTATGACTCTATTCTTACACGGTTACCATCAAGACGTCCTGAGAAAAGTGTAGGGCGTACTAGTTGCTGAATCTAAATAAGTGATAAAATTGTCTCGTATTTTCGGAGCGACTATTAAGTCGGATTAAAAAATTTCATTGAGAATATTGTGAGTACAGACCGGGTCCGGGTCCAAAAATGTTGAACCCGACAGGCTCTAATAACGACACTTCATTAGAAAAGTGGTACGAAAGACTTCATTTATAAGCAATATATCTATTTAAAATGGGTCAACTTTACTGGGATCAAAAGTTAGCATGCTGTCCTCGTCAAGAACAAACACAACTATCGGCATTATTAGAGACAAAATATAGCTCAACATTGTAATTAAGGACAACTTTTTTTCAAGCGATGTCATATGTCTTCTCTTCAAGTTTTGTGTCTTGATAAATGGAAATTCATTTATCAAAAATCTTTGGATTCTGATAGAGCTCGACACGATCTACAAAACTATTCCCAAGATCCCTTCTTTATTTCTCATTGGAAACAGGAAAAAAATTGTTTTCGTGCAAAAGTAAGTTTTTTGCTTATATTTTGTTAGAGCGTCGTTATTAGGAACAAAAATTAGTTGACCACAGTTATTAGGGGCAGTTTCCCTAATAACGACGGAAATAGTTTATGAACGTGGGCCATTGATTTCTAAGTCAAAACAATTAAGAAAAAAGATTGTTGATATACAATTTGAACGAGAAGAATCCAACAATTATGCAAATATAAAAATATTTTCGATTGGATATGAAATGGTCGTACGCCAAGTCTAAGAAGATACGACAATTTGTTTCTGTCGTTATTAGGAACAAGTACTATATCATGATTCAAACGTAGATATATGGGTCTGACACAGATGAATCTGAAGTTTAGACAAATCAAAGATCATATACAAATAGATGCAGGATTTTGCACATAAGTAAGCAGGTTAGATCATATTTAGGTCAAATGAAAGCTCTTAGCGCCAAACGAACAAGTTTAAGATATTACGTGCCTACAGCGTACCTAAAGGAAGATTATTTAAATTCCAATATATATCAAATTTAGGTATAAGAATGGATCAGAAAAGGTTGTCTTCATTATTCTAAAGACAAAAATATTATTGTTTGAGCCAATGCAAGGATTATCAAGGGTTGATTTTCATATGATGCGAACAATCCTATATTTCACTCTTACCGTAGAGGACGATTCTTTCAACTGATCATATTCTAACAAGGATTTTTCCTTATTGTAAGAACAAAAGATAGAGTTGTTCAAGTCATATGACAGAACATGGTTGCTGGATTATGATTATTGTAAGGGTAAAACATGAGGTTATTCTCCTCAATATACGGGTTATGAAGGGTTCTCTTTTATATAATTCGAACAACGCTATGTTTTGTTCTTGCAACAGGAAAAAAAATTCTTGTTACAATCTGATCAGTTGAAAGAATCGTATTCTATTGTAAGAGTGAAATTTAGAAGTGTTCGTATCATATGAAAAAGAACCCTTGATAATCTCTAGATTGGCTCGAACAATAATATGTTTTGTCTTTAGAATAATGAAGAAAACTTTTTCTGATTTATTTTTGTACCTAAATTTTACATACTTTGAAATTTAAATAACTTTCTCTAGGTATGGTATAGGCATGTAATATTTTAAATTTGTTAGTTTGATCAGTGAGAGATTTCATTTGATCCGAACATGGTCTATGTTCTTAACTAATAGTTGGCGACCTTCCATTGTAAGAGAATATATATTTAGATAATATCAAGATTTCGTAGTAATCAGGGCTTAGCTATGGATATAAGAGGTTCAATATAGATGTAGATACAAGAGGTTAAAGATTGAGGAATCATAAGGAGGTGAGGTATAGTTGTAAGTGGTTATTGAAGGTTTTTCTATAGAAAGTGGAATTACGAAACCTTTTTGGGATTAACAAAAACAAATTTTATACAAAATCTTGTTTGTATCAACTTGGAAAAACTTTCTAATTCTTTTCGATTTCCGAAACTATGTTCAAGTTTTGTACAGAACTTTTTCTCTAATATGTTGTCTCTTATTGAACGAGATAACTAAATTGTCAAGTGATCGTTTATTACGTTTGATGAACAAACACCTAACAATAATTAATAAATTTGTATTTGTTTGTGTATGTTTAACTAGTAATTTTTCTTTTTCCAAAAGAATATAAACTAATCGTGCATCTTTGCTCATCACCATTTTATTTTATTTCATGACTTTCAAATCTTTAAATGCACTTTAAAATAACTCGACGTATTTTAAAGTATTTTGACCTAATTTAAGGTACTGCTGAATACTCTATGCTATTTCCACATACTTGGAACTACTATTAAGTACTGTTAATTATTTTTGTACTTTGACGTATTTTTCTACTTCAAATTTGCTGTTATCGCCTAACATCTTTATAACGAGAGAAGATTTTCGTTTGTTTTTTTCTCATTCGATGATAATTATTATTTTACAGAAAAGAAATCATATACTTATCGTACATGAATTCATTTTATTAACAGTTAAATCGACTTATGATTAACTAAAAGTTCGTCTAATTTTCAATCGAAATAATAAAAAAAAAAACAGAGATATTTAAAATATTATTTTATTAAATTTTCAAAATAATCGATTGAACTATTTATGTATCTAACCAAACATCATAGAATTTCATATATGTATATTTTTTGTGCATTATGATATTTATATCTTCTCAATAATAAAAGTAAATTCCATGAAGTTTTTATGATGCATAGAAATCATGTAGATATGCTATAAGAAAAAATTTCATAAATTTTCTTTTAATCAGAACTGAGTTATTCTCAAAAAATACCGATAGTTACGAAATTTGAAAACTAAAAACTTTTTTGAAGGTGACCTAATACTTTTGCATTTTATTTTGAACCGAAATGACTATCAAATAAATGTTCTATATAAATGTTAGTGTGTTCTCTACAATTTTTCAGAATATTAGTTCATTTCTTAACAAGAAGAACTGTATAGTATAGAAAAACTAGAAACACTACTCGTTATGAAATTTTTATTTTTGTTTAAATATTTCAATTTAAATGGAAAAGATTTAAAAATTCAAAAATTTCATATTATAATTATAAAAACGCATTTTTTTTTCTAATGCTTGAAAAATATGAATAAATTTTTCATTGTTTATTTGATTCATTTTTTTAATCTTAATGAAATCATATTAAAACTTCTAACCATCTTTAAATAAAAATTTAAGTATAACAATTTACATTAAGTTATATTTTTTTTCTTAATGAAATTAGTAAATTACTGTACAGCTCAATTGATTTTCCCCCCTTCATATTTTTTTTGTTTTTATCACTATAGTTCTTTTATTTAGTACCTTTTTATATATCGGAAGAAAGGCCGAAACGCGCTGCATCTTATAGTATATTTATGTTGAACAACAGATGTAGTTTGAAGTATAAAGAGTGTATTTAAACCAAAAGTGACGTGTTTTTTCTTTTTTACTAGAAATATCCATCCACATTTATTATTCATTTCGAAATAACAAAATAGTAAGTATCTTTGGAATAACTTTTCATAGAAACAAGATAGAGACCTGCGGTTTTCACCATTCGAAAGCGGAGATGAAGCTGCATTGAGTCTTATATTGCAGATTTTTTTTACAAGCTTTATTATCGTCTCCACCTAATTTTTCTGAAAAATTGACTTTTATTGTATTTTTATCACAGAAAACCCAGTTTCTTCTCGCTAGAAACGTGAATTGTTTATAAAAATGAGGTGGAGACGATAATAAAGGGTGTCAGAAAGATCTGAAATATAAGACTCAATGCAGCTTCATCTCCTCTTTCGAATGGTGAAAGCCACAAGTCTCTATCTTGTTTCTATGAAAAGTTATTCCAAAAATACTTACTATTCTGCTATTTTGAAATGAATAATAAATGTTGATGGATATTTCTAGTAAAAAAAAAACATGTCACTTTTGTTTAAATACACTCTTATACTTCAAAATGCATCTGTTGTTCAACATAAATATACTATAAGATGCAGCGCGTTTTGGCGTTTCTTCCTATACATAAAAAGATACTAAATAAAAGAACTATAGTTATAAAAACAAAAATACGAAGGGGAAAAAATCAATTGAGCTGTACAGTAATCAAATTTTAAGACCCATAATGTTAGAAAAAAAAAGAGTTTATGCTACTTCTCACTTAATTAACTAAGAATTTACTATATGCCTGATAATGTATCGATAGTTTGATTGCAATTGTAGAAACAATTTTCTATTATTTTTATA